CTCTTATACACATCTAGATGTGTATAAGAGACAGGTATACTACCCCCTAAGGGTAGATTAGTAATTTTGTTTGGCTGAGGGCTAACCGAGAGACCTACCTGTACGGAAAATTCGCGAGGGACATATCTGCAAATATGGGAAATACAGGCCCAGCACTAACTCGAATTTCCTACAGCTACCCCCACTGCGTATAGCAGGCCCGGGCTACCCCTAGGACGGACAGGCCCCAAGGGGCCTATACCTATAGACGGTCCTATAGCCTATAGCCGGGTAGGAAGAGGTCGAGGGGCCGAAACTGGAACGGTACCGGTCGGTCCAGTCAGTCGGGTCTAGGTCTAAGTTAGGGTAGTGTAGATCTATTAAGGGATGAGGAAAATCGATTCAGGACTTTTGGCTGTTCATTTTTGGGAAGCAGCGTTTGAAGAAGCCAAGCAAGTTGGTGGTGGTGATTGTCTACAGGCGGCATACTGAGACCCTTGTCGTGGATGGCAGCCATAGCCGGCCTTCAGAAGGTTGCCAAAGCTGGGGCATCCTCAGCGCATCTACCCCTGAGGGTATCTGGGTCTGGCAGGGCTATATCGAGGCTCTTCACTGAGTATTCGTGGTGGCGGCAGCCATAGCTGCCTGTTTCTTCGTTAGAGTTGTTCATCGGCACTGAAGACTCCATCGCAGGATCTGTTCTTCATCTGGGTGGTTGGCGCTGGCCTCTGGGAGACCATTTTGGTGTTGCGCTACTGACTGGGTGTAGGGTAGAGAGTGGAGTGTGGGGTTCTGAAAGTGGTGAGATACTGAAACAAACTCTGTAACGATGTTTGGTTTTAATTGGCTCATCATCAGTGTGAATCCGATTGTTATCCTCACAGGTTTCTTCTTGTGATTGGTTGTTGGGAGTACTGTCAGAGAGTGAGGAACACTGTGTGTCTTCTCCCCACCTGTGCATAGCTGTATTCCGCTACCTATTTTGATCTGTGTACAGTCTGGACTCTGCCTCCTCTCCCCTTCGTCTTATGCATGTATGGGCATGTGTGAGAGTGTCTGTGGGTGAGTGGCAATGAAAATTGTCAGACAACCAAGTTCATAACATGTGTGTGTGTGTGTGTGTGTGTGTGTGTGTGTGTGTGTGTGTGTTATCCGTAATCCCCCTAATGAACCTCTATGCGCATGCATGAGAGCGTGCATGCGTAGGAGCTCGTGCACAGGCATGTGTCTGTGCATGTACGTGGCACATAGAGATATGAGAGAGAGAGAGTGTGTGCCAAACGGACACACACACACACACACACACACACACACACACACACACACACAC